TCAGAAAGGTTGAGGCTTTCAGAGCTCACGCTTATATTCCTTACCTTCATCTTCTTCCCTTCCGCCATGGACTTGGCCATTCCCCCAGAGGACCATGTTTCCCGACTCACCGCAGCCTGCAGCTGAGCTTCGGGCACTGTTTGCATCACTCCTCCAGTGTAGGCACCTTTCCCAGCAGCCACATGAAGCCCTTTGAATTTGCACTTACCCATCCCAGCAAAGGAGCGTGCTGCATGGACCGGAGAGCACTGGGAAAGATTGGGAGGAGGCAGCTGTCCCATTCAGCAAAACCCAGTTACATTTGAAAAAACTCAGAAACTTCAAAGCCCTGCACGCAAACTTCTCCAAAAGCCAATAAACTCCAGCAGCTCAACGGCTTTGCCAGTGCCCACGTGTGGCTCCAGGGACCTCACAGAGAGCTCCTTCCTCGGTCAGGTGCCTGCCAGCCTGACACCCCAGCCCATTCCCACCCCGGCTCTTGCCCTTTGGCCAGCAGGTTTATCCCAGCACCCTCCAAACACCCCCTCAGGGTGTTGTTACGCTTCTTTTAACCCAGCAACTTCTAGTCTCAAGCAGGAGGATACGGTGCTGCTCTGCTTTGCTCCAGCCGAGGGATCTGCCCAGCATGCTTCCCACCGCAGAGTCACCAAGCATCCCAGGAGCGACACAGCAAGCGATGCTCAGCTGGTGCCAGCGGCTCCTTCTGCTTCCCTAGGCGAAGCCTCCTCATCCCCAAAACCTGCTGCGGGCAGTAACATCCCCCACCCGTGATGCTGACCCACAAGATATGTCCAGGGAGGGTTGAACACTGTGGTCGGTTTTAAGCAGCACGATGGACTGAACGCAATTTCGACAAGTTAAACACCAGCGCTGCTCTCACCACCACAGATGAAGCTGCCGCCCTCTGTCCCCCCTCCCCAGAAAGGCACAGACATCGAACGAGGGTGCAAACCCAAAGCAACTTCACGTGCCACCAACGTGCTCGAGGTCGAGCTCATCTCCATGGCTCAGTGGAGCCCAGAGGATGCCGGACAGCAGGAGAACCTGCACGCCACAGCTGAAACACCCGCCAGGTTATTTCTTACCAAAAAGCAATTCCTGAACCCACAACAAGCACCTTTTAATAACCGGCTTGTACAGAAAATCACCAGTGCTGGGAAGTCCTTGTGAAGGAAAGGGCCTTAGGAATACAAATCTGCAAAAGAACTTTTCACTAAATGTTTTTTAGATCTTAAACACCGTTTTTTTTCCCCATCAGTAGGAAATTAGCTCATCCCACCTCCCAGGTTGCTTTTCCAGGGCAGGTTGTAACAAGGAGCCATATCCCAATTGTCCCGCTCTGCCTCACGAACAGATGCTAATTGCTGCAGAGCTTCTGGGATAACAAGGGATTTCCAGCTCTGGGGGGACGACGAAGCCCATGGAAGCTGTGCCCACACAAGGGGGCTTCTCGAAGCAGGGCAGGGGACAGGGCCACCGGAGAAACGCCAGTGCCGCGCGGACATGCCGAGCGGAGATTTAATTCACAGCCAGCAGAGATTTAATTAGTGCCTCGCGATATGGCATACCCGCACCACCAGAGGGAGAGCTGCTCGGCATTTCTCCTCTGAAACCGCACTAATTAAAAGATTTTGATGGCTTCCTAAGAACGTAAACCGTGCACGATGCTCCAGCCAGGCCATCAGCTCACCAGCCTGCATCGCCCAAGTGCCGTGCCAAGCCCATGCCTGGATGGCTGGTAATTATTTGAAATTCCGAGGTAAATCTCTATTTCTAGCTGAATGGTGCGTGATTCTCAGTACAAAACCCCTCCGCGCCGCCGGAGCACAGCAGGGCACGGGGAAAGCTGGACCACACGGAGGATGAACCATAGGAAGCTCGCAGCTGTGGGAGCACTTTAAAATTACAGACACACACAAAAAAAGTTCCTTAATAGTTCTGGGATTTTGCAGAGTTGCCTCGGTCTTTTAAACAGCTGGCAAGGAGGATTTTTAAAAGCAGGTTAAGGATGTATCTGCGAGGAGCAGTCCAGCTGGGGCTGATCCTGCCAGGAAGGCAGGGATTGAATTAGACCAGCGTTCTTCATCTGTTTTAAAATCAACTTTCACGTCAGCTGTCTGGAAAAGGCCCAGATGACCTTCGCTAGTGTGGCTGCGGTGGTTCTTACTGACAGCCAAATGCAAAAATCAGTCCAGGACAACATTTTGAGCGTAGCCCTCCACATGCTTCTAGTCAATTTGCTTGTAGACATGGGGACGTGCATATTTAGAAAGAAAATGCTGGCAGTCGTGTCAGTGACGGCTGTGGAGCACCAGCTGGAGATGAGCTGCAGGTTCACTAATGCCACACTGCATCACCTCCAGACCTGGCTGGTGTGGATGAACTGAGCAGGATGGAGCACAACCCTGCAAGGTCAGCGGCTCAGGATAAAACCAGCTACCTGTAAGCACACAAAACACCTTGTGCACGCTACAAACCCATCCAAAAATTGGTCTACTAACAGGACATAGAGTGGCACGCTGAGAAGAGCCAAGCTTCATGCCCAAGAGCAAATTCACACACTCCCCCCATCGCGGTCTCCCCATCATCTCCCACAGCTGAGCAGAGACCCGCTGCGTCCCTCTCCTCCAGCCGCCTCCTGATCAGCATCATCCTTCCCTCTGCTCACCATGGGCCTGGGGAGCCATGAGTTAATTTCTTCAGATCTGAAGGAATGGGAAGGGTCGATAGTATTTTAATCAATCGTTTATTAAACAAAGTCAGGCATGTTCAGCCTGTGATTGTCAGGTAACACCTACACACACACACACCCCCACACACACCCACCCCAAAACCACTGCATACCACATAGAGCACTGAGGATGGCTGAAAATTCAATACAGCCCACAAATTTCCTTGCTAAAGGAGAATCGCTCCCTGCTATGCCCAAATACTCTCCCTGTTCTATTTAAGCCACCCAAATTTTAGCCATGCCTCCATCATCTCCTGCTTTCCCGGATATCGTGTACTTCAAAACATCACAACAGTTACAAGACACTCAGGAAAGAAAGAGAAATTACCTTTGTCATCCAAGAGAAATTACCTTTCTCGTTCCCTCCTTCACAGTTCGTTACAGCCTTCCTGCCATCTCACACGGGAGCGTTGGTCCCCGCCTGCTGAAGGCCGGGGGCACAGCTCTGCCTCCGGTGATACCGCAGCTCCTCACGCTTTCGGCTCCCACCTCCCCACCCCGCTCTCCGATATAATACCAATTTCGGCTTCAATCTCCTTGTCCTTCACCAGCAGTCAGCTTGCTCCTCCTCCTTCTCCCCCCTTTCTCTTTTCGTACACAAATCCACCCTTAAAACACACCTTTGCTGCTTAAATTACCACAATACATTATTCGGGACAGAGACTGGGAAAATTTAGGTGATGACAACACGGAGCGATGAAATATGCAACCATGCGCGGGACCCAACGCTAGAGTGTGCTGTGTAGGAAATAACCTCGCACTGCGGACGACGATGGGCTTGATAACGCTGCAGGATGTCTCTCTCCAGACACCATCAGAAACGCTGAAGAACTGGATGAACTGGATGAGTCATTTTTATTTTGGCTCCTGGAAACGCGTGAAGCTCCCTCAGAAATCCTTGGTGAAGGCGGAGGGCTAAGCAGCAAACACAAGAGTTTCGAAGAAAGCAGAAAACACATCCAGGGGAAGGAAATTAAAAAAAAAAATTAAAAAAAAAAGGCAGAAGAAAAGCAGCAAGGAGAGAATAGTATCAGATATTCCCCTGTGTGGCTTAGTGGAGTGTCAGAAAAGAAGAGATTCACAAAGGCAGGATTATAAACCAAACCTGCTTTCTTCTCCTCCTGAATTTGTTTATTTGAAGCGTCGTGATAATTAAGTTGTGCATTTTGCCTGCAAGCCTGGCTGGGGCTGGATGGACTGCAGAGAAAGACTCGGGACAAAGCAACAGCAACAAAAACCCCAGAGCTCTCGGTGACTTCCCAAGTGTTGTCTCCCGATTCCCTCAGAGGAGGGAACGAGGCACAGACCTTCAGGGACACTGTCCAAGACCCCAGGCAAGTCTGCACCCAAGCCAGAACCACAGCTCAAGGTATTTCTACCTTTTGATTCAGCGTTTGAGGGACAGGCTTAACTGAGATAAGAAAATAAAAAGCATTTTAAACAAAATATTTGTGCTTTTTTAAAAAAAAAAAACTTGTTTTTATTTTGACAAGATTGAGAAACATCTCAACATACAGAACTCAAAAAAAAAATCATAAATCACCTAGTTAATTTACTGAAGAGGAAAAATACAGTACATACAAGACTCAAACATCCCCTAAGTTTATACAAAAGCCAGACTGTAATAAATTGCATTAAAAAGATATCAAGCATTACCTGACTGATTCAACATCGGCATTTGCCCCATTATTAAAAGGCACAGAAGACTGAGCAATGAAAATGTTCAGCATCACATCCATTATTGTCAGTAAATTCATCAAGATTAGCATAAAAAAAATTATTAAACTCATGTTTAATATTCACCACGTAGATCGGTAAGAAATCTTTTTTGGAAGGAGTAAGAAAGTAAAGTTGGAAAGGACAAACACTTAAATACGACGCAAAGGCCCTTCCTAGAAATCTACCTTCAAATCTTCCCAGAATCACTTTCCCAGCTGCGTTATCACTCAGCAATCATTCAAAAAAAAAAAACCCAAAAAAACCAAAAAAAAACCATTTCACGACCCACAAAGCCCACCTCCTCCCAGCAGCATCGCCATACCGCAGCAGCATCATCGGCAGCGTGAAGCCCTTCTGCTACGTCTTTGGTCGCAGACAGACCGCGAGCGCCGAGGCTACGGAGGTATCAGCAACGCTGCCAAACCACCGCCGGTCTGCTGGCCCCAGTCTGTAGTAGCCAGCACAAACCAGAACAGGTGGATTTGCCTATTTTCTTCTTTTTTTTTTTTTTTTTTTAATATATATATAACCGTATTTGAGGTTTTCAAAGTCACCCCGGGTAACACATGCAGCAGCCAGCTCCAGCGAAGTCGGGGGCAGATCTCTCCCCGATACCGACTTCTTCAAACAGTCTTTCGCTCAGCTTGTGCTCGGTGATGATATCTTCCACCCGAGTTACGTAAAGCATGGATAACAACACCCCCAGGAACTGCGAAAGGAAGGGACATCCCTCGTCAGAGATCAAATACTGTTAATCTCGTGCTTTTCGCAGCAGATTTTACGAATCTGTAATTTTCTGTATACATACGTCAGATATGAGACATATATACAGACAGAAAATCACATTGTTGTTATTCTTTGCATATAGGGGTATATTTTCGTGAACAGCAGAAGAATTACCACCCTTGTGCCTCCGAGCATTAGAAAGTCTTCGTGGACACAGGTAGGGGGAGGAGAGGACTCAAAAAACCCCAAGCGAAACCAAATTAACCCACCAAACCCTGCAATGCATCACAGTTATGCTATTAAACTACCAGAATGCCACCTCAGCTTATCAGTTATGTTAAATTTAAAGAAAAAATGCTAGTTAAATACACTCAAGATGGGATTTCGCATACCACAGCAACCAATCAGATACTCCCTTTAATGGCCAATGCACTGGCCCCTTCTTACCTGGGGTACCAATATTCCGAGCAGCACACCAGCCATGATGCTGTAGTTGTCCAAAAACCAAATTAGCACGGCATTCGTGCATCCGCGGACATATATAACGTGCTGAACGCTCAAGCGCTGCAAAAACAACAAAGCAGATGCTCAAACAGGGAGTCGCGCTGGTGTATGATACAGTTAACACGTGATAATTCAAAATTTCAGGGAGGCAAATTTGGTTCTCCTTCCCAGCTCTTTAAACCCACTGAATTCGACACAGGCCTCATCACTGATTCTTCCGTCTGTTTTTCAGCTGTTCCACACCTGAACAAGTTCTTTTAATTTTTTTTAAACCTTTTTTTCTTTTTTTTTTTTGGCAACTACTTTTCTGAAAGAAATGTGTCCGATCCACATTTTAGGCCACTTGGAAAGCAGAGAGGTCTTCTCTTTGGCTTTTTTACCTCTGCTTCCAAGTTGACAGTACGGCAGTGGAAAAAAACACAAATCGCGGACCAAGTGCTTTGCAAGAGACTCTAAAAAGGGCAGGAACAAGAGGATTTCAGATTCAGTCCTGCAAGCTGCGCTGCACCGTGACCCCAACCCATAATATAGAAAGCACTCGAGGCTGCAAAGGGTCCTAAGCAGATGAATGGGGTAAAATTAAGCGTATGCTTAAGTGCTTTGGGCGTTAGAGCCAGGCTGGAGCGTTGAGGTGATTAAGCCATAAATCAATGAATCTAAATGAAGACAGGTCATATGTAAAGATAACCGGTAATCCCCAAAACCAACAACCGAGGCTGGCATTGTGCGCCAAGTGCCTCAAAATGAGCTTTTTTAGACCAACCCCCCCCCGCACCAGCACTCCAAAGCCAGGAGCGGAGAACTCGCGGCAGATCCAATTACTGATTTCCCCGCTTAATCACTCCACAATTAGTGCCTTGATCTGGCAGTCTCTACTCTGGAGCAACCGGGCTACTCCCAAGAGGGAAAACCAGAGGAAGGAGGAGACCCCATCCCGCTCCTGGAGGGAGGAAAAGGCTGGAGGAGAAGTCCCACTCCTCTTCCAGGAATAACCATTACAGGCTTCAAAATAAAACACCCACGACTGGGTTATAAAATACTTAGAAACAGCTGAGTTGGCTTCAGCAAAACAGCTTTTACTCAGTAAGAAACTTGGGCTTTTCGGTATTAAAATCTTACCCCAACTCAAGTCACCACTTAAAAGTATTGGAGCATCTTTCTTTGTATTAACCCTTCAATTAGCGTAAGGGGGGCGGGGGGAGGGGGCAAGATTTGGGAAGGAACACTTCATGAGCGTCAAACAAGGAATCATGGAAGATAAAAGAAAGGGAAGATACTACAATCAAACCAGCTTATTTTTTTTTAATACATGAAAGGTACTCTACTCCGATTTAACTGTCTGGTAGACTTAAGTATGCAGAAGTCAATTTTTTAACTGACATAAAAAGTGCAGAGAAGCACAACGCTTCGCCATGGCAGGATGGATGCCCATTACTTTACCTCTTGGTCAATGGTTTTGTATCCGCACATAGTGTTGACGATGTCTGTCTGAAAAGAAAACAACAAATATAAACTAGAGCAGAAAACAAAAATCCCAAGAAAAATACTATTTTTAGTCTTCTTGTGTTCACCCAGCTCATATAACAGCAACAACAGGGGATTAGTCGCCAGTCCAACACCGATATCTTCCCAGCAGCTCCTGGGTCAGATGTAGATAGAGCTCGACGTGATTTTAGAGCACTCAGTGTCGCCAGTGTGTCACCACACAAGACTGTATTTGAACCGTGTCTCTCCAGCAAAACCAGCGTGGCGTCAGAAAGCAAAGCCAGCTACAGCAGAGCTGTACGCCACAGCTGCTTCCACAGAACAAACAGCTGGGTTTAATTTTACGGCCTTAATAACTTAACACATCTTATTAAGAAAAACAGGGATGAACACAGCCATCATACCATCACGATGACAAATTTAAACTCAGAAATATCTGAAACTCAAATAAGAGACAATACTACAAATGCATACACAAACATTTCACAAGACCAAATTTATTATATTTTTATATATCATAATATATACGAATGTAAAATTCAAATATTTAAGACTGAGTGTTTGCATTTATCACAGATAACTAATGCATTTTCTGTGGCCATTCAATATTTCGCCTCCGTCCCGAAGCTCTACCTGGCCTGGCAAAGCTAACATGGAAATACCATCCTTCACTGGCACGTCAACTGACGGAAAGCCCTCACCTTCCACCCAAGGAAGCCAAAATCACAGAGGAAAATGTGAATATGCACATGAGGAAAATAAAGCAGAGCAAACTCTTGCGTATTGACACTAAATTAAGACAAGATGCAGAGACGAGATTTCTAAATGCTGGTGGCCTCCGAGCGGTCGGTAGCCTGGGGTTCTCCTCCAGTGACCTCCTCAAGAGGGAAGAGGGTTGTTTGCAAAAGATGGAAGGCAGCTGGATGTTACCTAATGAGAGAAGCGCCAGCCAGGGTCAAGCTTTTTAAGCCCCCCAAAAAGCTGGGCTGTCATACCTTGAACGCGCGACAAACAAGGTTCAGCACCTTCCTAAAAAAAACCAACAAAAAAACCCCAAAAAGCTCTGAGCATTTCACAGGTCTGTTGGGAAAACCCACCTTTGAACCCACGGAGCGGGTAATAAGGGCTGCTGGAAGTCAAAGTGGGCGATTACTGGGCATCAGCGTGTCGCTGTGTCCGCTGTGAGTGATTTCCCACTTAACGAACCACCGGAGCCCAACAGGCGAAGGCACGGCCGCCCGCGGGGCGCCTGCCAACAAGGAACGCAGCCGCTTCGTTTCATTTTAAACACGGCCTTTGCTAACGGGACGTCGCGGCGCAAGAAAACGTACGCAACAGAGGGAAATGCATTAGGAACAGTATTCGGGGAGTCATTTTTATCTGCTGCAGTAGAGTAAGTGTTCAATAAATACTTTGACTTGAAAATAGTCCCTTCAGAGTGCCTCCCCCCCCTCCACCCTCCCAGTATGAGCCTGGTTCGTCTTAGCACAGAGCTTTTTAAGAGGATCAGGATCCAACCTCTGACATTAGCGGGAGTTTTCCATGACTACAAAGCGAATGAGTAATCACAAACCATATCTGTAGTTTTCCAGGACAGAAACCAGCCTGTATTTGGAAGCATTTGTCAAACATAGAAGATTTATGCATCTTCTAGTTAAGTTGTGGGGTTTTTTTTTTCCTCCAAGGCAGCTGGCCATACAGCCACGGCGTCAGTGCCATCCTGCCGCGCAGGCGTCTGTGCCACTTGGGTGTCACAAGGCACATGGATGGCATCCCGGGGCAGCAAAGCCCCAAGCCCTAACGTACTGCAGCTTCTCGCTGAACAACCCACCCGTAAATAAGAAGTTTGTTTGTTAGTCACTGATAGGATGAGGGGGAATGGTTTTAAACTGGAATAGGGGAGATTTAAATTAGATATTAGGAAGAAATTCTTTACTGTGAAGGTGGTGAGCCCCTGGCGCAGGTTGCCCCGAGAAGCTGTGGCTGCCCCATCCCTGGAGGTGTTCAAGGCCAGGTTGGACGGGGCTTGGAGCAACCTGGGCTGGGGGGAGGTGTCCCTGCCCAGGGCAGGGGGGTTGGAACTAGATGATCTTCAAGGTCCCTTCCAACCCAAACCATTCTACGATTCTATGATTTTGGAGCTACTCCCCACCTTTCAATTAACTTCCCCGAGCTCAACCCTTTGCAGGCTACCTTTAGGCTGCAAGTAGTTTCATCTCCCCCCCCACCCCACCCCCAGTTGCCAATGTAGCATACGGAGAATATACCCCCTCTTTTCCCCCAAGAAGGTTTTATTTTAGCGCTTTCCTGCCTGACAGGTTGCACTTGAAATCCACAGTGTGTTTGACTGTTTGTGCCACGGCTGGAAAGGCACCCGGCATTATTAGTTTCCGGTTATTGCAGCGCTTCACCTTCACGGCACCGCTGCCTTTCCACGCACACCAACTAACCTTTTAAAACAAGACTTCAAAAGAGAAACGAGAGCTACAGAAAAACAGGCGGTATTTCGCATGACCACTGAAAAGCCCGACTGCTCTTTACCAGACGGCTCTGCCTTCCTTTACCATCAAAAGAAGGCAAAATCCTGAGCTCTTCTGCTGAGTGCAGCTGTGCAACAGCAGATGCTATTTTCATATACGGGATTTTCTTATTCTCAAACACCTCAGATTTGAAGCATAACTGTTTAGCTTCGGTCGCTGAGAATAAATAAAAGCTCAGTGCAGATTTAAACAGAGTCTGTCTCATACTCAAAAAATGTGTAAGCATACGTAATAAACACCTTCATATTATACACATTTCTCAGCAGGACTACTGACACAATTATTGCATTTATTTCCCCTTTTTTTTAATTAATCAGCCACGTTCAAGACAGACATTGAAAGGGCAGCACATAACAGGCAGCGGTAGGCGATCCACCAGGAGCTCCACCGCGTCTGCTCTTACACATACGCAATTTCTCTGCCCCATATTCAGACCGAAGACCAAAACCCAGCCAGGCAGGGACTGCCCATACTGGTTTTAAGTCGAGGAATCTTTCTTTATCAAATTCAGCATTATGTCCATCCCTCAAATTCAGAGCCGTGAGTTAAAACTGCTAAAATATACATAAAACTCGTTTGCATGGAACTTAATGCCTGCTGCTAATGCTGCCAGCACCCGTTAATACTAGTTCATCACAGACTGAGAAACTGGTCCAGACTCCAACCGACCCCGAGGTCGTTTGCCCGCATTTCCAGATGATGGGGTCGTTCTGTTTCTCCTTTTCAAGCTCTCACGACCCACGGATCCGTAGCTCCCGTTTTCAGGAAGGACCCGTTTTCTTTCACTTCCTCCCCCAGACTTTCCAAAATAAGGCACCTTTTTAAGCGAAGGCCGGCGACCCGGCAGAGAGCAGCGATGCCGAGACGCCGGGATTTGGACGTACCTTATTTGTGACGCAGCAAGTGTAGGGCACCCCGCAGGCCAGCGGTCCCGGCGCCGCGCAGTTGTGGTACACGTTTTGTGTCCAATCCTTGTAATCTTCCCCACCACAGCATTTAAACTGGAAAAAACAACGCAAAAGGCAAAGGGGAAAAAAAAAAATTAAAAAAAAATCCGTATCTTAACAGAAACTCTTCTAATAATTAGAAAACAAAGTAAGGATAAAACAATTTTAAGAGCATCAAGCAATTTTGTCATTTTAGCAGCAAGGCACATATGAATGTGTATGATAGATACAACCAAAAAGAATTAAAGATATAGGTAGCGTTCCTCCATCGCTGATCGAGTCACTCCCCAGGGTGCCAGAGCAAAGGACCCAGTGCTAAGTTCCACCTCCCGTCTTTTCCAAGTTGAAAAATTATCTTTTCAGGTCCGGACATCATTAAACAATTTTTTTTTTACATTCATTCCATCTTCAGCTGTAATGTAAGTTTCTTCAATTTTTTTAAGGATTGTAACTACATTTCTAAATGTAGTCTAAAAGACAAAAGCGTTGCTATAAGGCATGAAAAAAATATCACTAAAACATTTTGGGTGTAATTTAGTAGAACCGAGATCTGGCAAACAAATACTGTAAGTTTACACCTACTTAATACAAATATTTGCTTTATATATTAAATGAAGAGAAGAGAAGCAGTTTGTTTAATCACTAAAATGTATATTCACTGCCTGTATACATAATTTTGGGCAGTGCATGGAAACTTTAAAGCATTATGAGGTCTAATGACAAAATTTCCTCAGAATGGTTTGCTTTTGACAGACTTTCCATGCTAACTTTGTTTTTCAAAGCAGGCTGCCATCTCCATAACGATGTCATAAAATATATATACCGCTTCCTAAGTTAATTTATTTATTTTTTTAAATCATTATTTGGCACGGTCACTGACATCACATGGGCCCTGACATCACATTTCTGAACATTTTCTGCTGCTTCTATAGCCTCTGAACCGTGCGGCAGAACTCTGCAATAATCCAATAAACATTTCAACACACCAGCCTTAAAAAAAAAAAATAAGGCTGTGAGTCAACTACACGTGCCATTAAGTAATGCTCAGCTGCGCTCAACACAATTTTTGAGTTTTAATTACAGGTATATACGCTTCCATGGGCATTTCCTTTGAATAACCACCTTTTTAAAGAGCTTGCTATATGCCCTCGAGCGAAAATAAAAGGCCCGGGTTCAAACAGCCTAATTGACACCTAATTTCTCTTTATCCGGCGCATCCTGTTAATGAGACACTTTTGAATGCCTTGGACCAGCCAGCAGATATCCTGAGCACAACAGCTTGGGTGGAATTTAGGCTGAGCTTCTCTGAATCCAGCTGTTGGGCCCCTATAAGCCCAAATGTTTGCAGGATCGGGCCCTGAGCATCCGAATCACACCAACCAAGGCAACAGCTGCATTTTGCCACCCCCCTTAACTTCTTGCCATGATTTAGAGGGTTCCAAATGCCAGCTGGGATGCTGGAGGAGCCCTGCCTGCAGCGACGCTGTAATGGATGATGCATGAGGTCTCATCCCCCTCGTCAATAAGAATTTGATTATCACATCACTGGAAAAACTCAAAGCTGTCGCCCAGGACCTACCACACCTCAGCGCTGAGTTAGTCACAGGAAAAAAAGGAAAAAAAACCACAAAAACCAAAACCCCATACCCTCTTTTGAACAGAATCCATGATGTTCTTGAAGTCTAAATCATCGTAGTAATTCTCAATTCCTCTTCTTATATTATCGTTCAAAAACTTGATTGTCTAGAAGGCAGAAGCAAAACAAGATTCATGGGTGACACACGCCAAAACACAATTAAAAGAACAGCTTGAAGCGACAAGTGTAATTGATGAGCACAAGAGGAAAGGTCTTTTTTTTTTTTTTTTAAGAAAAAAACAAATACCAGTTAAAAAAATCAATCACAGCACCGTTCTCTTTTACGGAAGCAGCCTCACTGCTGGTTTTGTGCTGAGAAGTGCGAACACTGTGAGACCTCTCCAGCGAGGTGCTGCTTCTCTGAGACTCTCCAAGCATCTCCCACAGACGGTCCCATTGTCCCCCAGGCAAGATCCCTCCCACTAGGCACTGGGGATCCCCATTGTTTTTTGGGTGACAGAATGGCGGTGGGTCTTGGCACCGTGGTCGGCACCGTGCCCAGGGCCACAAGAGCTGACTGTCTCCCTGCTCACCATCTTCCATGAATTTTATTTTCACCATTTTATTTTCCAAGGAATCCATAACTGCCAGATAATGGGCTTTATTCCACCTTAAGCAGACAAAAAAGTGGAAAAGATCCCATATCTGTATGTTTTACAGTCATGGTTTTGAGAAATATGGCAGCGGAACGGTGGCAGATATAAAACGGTACCTCCTCAGCTTGGCATATTAGAAATTAACTAAATGCTTTCAAAGCTCAGAAGACGAAGCAAAAAAATAAGAGCATTTAGTTTTCAACATGCAGCACCATCACAGCACAGTAAAATTTGAGATTAAACATAACCAGAATGTAGCAACTTCCCTTTCAATCCAGCTTCTAAAGCGATCCAAGCTACATCCTTGCAGGTCAGAAAGGAACCTGAAATACGCCTACACATTTTCTCAGTATTACAAACAGCCACACTTAAAACCAAAGCAGAACAAAAACAATTATCACACCGGGGATTAGAAACGAGAAGGGATTTTGCAGGACTATCCTAACTGGCCGAGAAGGAACAGCAGCACGTGCCGACTACTCTGGTGCTGCCCCACTTGGGCTCCACAGATTTGAGAAGGAAATAGAGAAAGAAATGGGAAAAACCAGTGAGGCATGCAAAACAATCAGCATTTAAATGGAGGCTATTACCCTAAGCTTTTATTAAATACTTCCTTCTCCTCCTGGTACTAACCCCAATTTCTCCCTTAACCCCGTAAAACAACCAACCAAACCTGTCCCCGAGCGTAGCTGTCCTGCGCAGACAGCCGATACACGCGTCGGGGAAAATGCTCACTGCACAAAACCCACAACAATACATTCGCTTTGTCCAAAAGTCATCAGCCATTCTTCCTTGCCCTCTCAGCAAATACCCTCTTTGGCATCTACTTCTTTTTCTGTCAACCGAATTCTCTGCATCCCGTGATGCCCACGCTCCTACGCCGGACAGGCTGATCCGCTTCCCTCGGATGAGCCTGGTGCTCCCACCAAAATAATTTGGAATAAATCCTTGCACGGGGCTGAGGCGGCGCCTACAGCAACAGCGAACAATGGCTTCTAAAAATGAAGACAACTCATCCTCTGCTCTCACAAGGCAAGTCCACAACCCCAGTACAGCATGGAGCAAGAAGAAAACACTAGCTAGGGAGAACATAACACTGCTTCAAAATAACAATCACAGAATCATGAGTTGTTATTTTTAAAAACATATTTTTAAAGCTTTTTTTTTTTTAATAACATATGTAACATAATACGTATGACTTCTTTTTGCAGAAATGAGATCAGCAGGATTGGGGTGGGGAGGGAAGAGTTCGTCTTATTCAGATTCTCCTTTTAATGCTCGTATTTTGCCAGATTAGAAAAAAAAAAAACAGAGCATAGAAATCTAGTACTTGCGACATTGAACACATGTATGTTTAAAATCTATATATTATAGATTTTATATAGCTATAGATATAATAGTTATAGCATGCTTGCAAATGATGAGGTCTCCTACAGAAATTAGTTATGTTGCTTATGGATGTGGGCATTGAAGAGCTGTCCTTTAGGCAAGGTAAAACATTTTAGCCACTAAAAAATACCAAAGTCTCCAAATCCAGCTGGAAACTTCCCAAATCAGCGATCTGAGGCCCAGAAGGCAAACGAGAAGAAAGCATCTTGTAATACACGAAGAGCTGGAAACTCGTTTTGCCTGTATGGCACATTCTTCGTTACCGGATTTTCTCCAAATTCTTTAATCTGGAATTCATCTCTGGAACGGGTGGCCAATCCCACCCGTCCCCGAACCTGAAACGTGCTGAAAAGCCCGGATTTGCCTTCAGACTTCCATCAGTTAGCGCTCAGGCGACAGTTTTAACGCCTTTTATTTGCTCAGTAGCGTAGCCAAAACGTCATGGATTGTGAGTAACGTTCTTGGTGAGCAAAACCGAAAACGCCAGCAGCTCACCTGGTTTCTGAAGATGAGGGCCACCACTCCACCAGTCAGCTCAATCAGCAAGCAGATACCAAGAATGTACATGAACTGCAAAAAAACAATCGCAAGTGAGTCCTTAAGCAGAACAAAACCCAATTACTCTTTCAATTGGTGGCCTTAAGTCTGTAACATTCGCTTGCCAACTTACTTGGCTTTCCGCATGTGAGATGGCATTTTAAAGAACGATAGAAAATTATGGCTTTGTTCTTATAAAGCTGTTCGTGCCACAAGAAAGCCTTTTTTTTCCCTTCACTTGAGTCATTCTGGGTTTTGCCCAATTGGCAAACACACGATTTTTCTGCTTTGAACGGACTCAAAACCGATAGAGGCATTTACCATGCCAAGATACTTCTCTCCGTAACAGCATCCCAGAGAAGCGTATTGATGGACAGCTACAAACCGCACCGAACATGGTGGTTTTATGCTTCCTTACCAGTACTTACCTGCTAGATTTTGCTTCTTGGGTAAAGCAGTGCTTTAAGATAATCCAAACCATCTCCTGCTAAATTGCCAGCGTTAAATCAAAACAAAATTGCGCGCTGGGTACCGGTCTGCATTACCGAGCCAGCGGAGCGCAGAGCCTGCACGATGGGCACTCACAGGACTCGCTGTGCTCAGGGGTAAGAAAAATTATACCTGCTTGCTCTTTATTTATTTATTCATCTCTGTGTATACATATATACACATGCGCACAAATGCACTTGCACACGAGCACAACATGTGCATCTGCGACTACTTCTCAAAGCGCACGCAAAATAGGAGTAACGCGAAGAAATCCACAGCAACACCAGGAGATGACTGCGACCTGCCAGTATTTGAAACAATTTTCCAACCCAAAGGATTCTTTAGGTATAAAAGATGGCTGTTAGGTGAATTTAGGTCCGCTTCTCAACAGCAAACTTCATCAGGAAAGAAGTTTTAGAATCTCTCATCTGAAAATCACCTCTAACCCTCCGCCCTCAAAGCTGGTTTAATTTCTGGGCTCTCAGTCCCGGTATCAGTGTCACAAATTCACTGGACTGATATATTTTCTCGTCCTAAATGTGGAATCAGCCTGAGCAGCAGACATCAGGGGTTCTCTTCATTTAAATACCCTACCAGGTTTGCTACCACAAAGGGAACAGAAAACGTCCTCATCATCAGACGAGGACACACCACCACGCTCAGAGTGAAAGAAGCCACCACTGCCCAAGGACCGGCTCTCAGTAAAATGCCATATGCGCAACTTCCACCTGCAACCGTGGCGTTCTACAGGAATTTCCCTAAAATTTACCCTTCTGGAGGCGCCGGAGAGAAAAACTGCGTCCCTGTCACTTCCCCCCTCCCAAAGCCCTCTGGTGCCACACAGCTAACATCATAACACCCATTTCTCCCCCCTCTATTCCCCGCAGGCAGACAGACCCCAGCCACCGCCAGCCTGACGGACGTCAGCCCATCACGGGGGTTCTTTCTCCTGCAGTCTCCTCCAGGTTGAACCAAGAAGCATTTGGAGAACCACCAGAGACTGCAAACTCACCTCTGCGCTTAACGCCCCAGCAGGCAAGCTTTAGGGAATCCCCCTGCAGCTGACAGGGAGAAGTTGCAGCCAGATTTCGGCTTTTCCTTCAGTCAAGGGGCAGAACCATTCTTCTCTTCTCCATCCCACCGCGGCACAGCCGGGCCAGAGAAAGAATGGGCACCGCGGTGCCAGGCTAACGTCGAACGGTATGTCAACAGCGGAGTTTGCACAAGATCCACACGGGCTGATAATAATTCACATTGCTGGTGGTTTTACGTAAAGCCCTCAACTATTGGAAAGCTGGATTTCCCAGCGCCGGGCTCTGACCCTCGCCCGTCCTGTCGCTGCCAAGGCAAAAATCTGTTGCTTCCCAACGGAGGGATGTCCACAGACCACAGTTAGGGGACCACTGCCGTAAAGCAGTTTCAGACTGAATTAAAATCGAAAAAAGCAACTTTATTAACATATTTTTCAGTGCAGAGGTAGCTATGGGTTTGAATTCAGGTGACGCTGAAAAACAAAAGCAGCGAGCCTTAAAAAAGTAAGACAAAAACCCCAACACTTACTGTTTGAAGAAGGCATATATTGTCTCTTAAGGAAGCCAGTACACCCAGAAAAGATACCAGGAACATTATAATGCCCAAAAGTATTAAAATAATTGCTGGGGCTAGAAAGGCACTTTCTAGAGTTTTGTACTTCTGTCTTTCAACTTCTGCATAAATCCCAACTGCGAGAACAAGGGCTCCGATCACCTGAAACAGAAAAAGAGAGGAGCACAGATGTTACTCATCCTCCCAGTAAACACCCAGATGACATTTCGTGAGTACGCAGGAACCTGTGACCACTCACTTCAGAATTAATTATAAACAACGAAACACTCAAATCAGAAGTTTGGATTAAAAAAAAAACAACAAAAACCAAGCCAACTCAAAGGCTAAAGCAGAAAAAAGCCGAGTTAGAAACAAACACTGAGACTTGTTCATTTCCAAAACTTATTCAAATAATGTTTTAACATTCTGGAAGTTAAACAAATTGAAACATACGTCACTGGTTGAAATGCAATTTATTACTCATCTGAGATCATATATATTACATACACTAGCAAATATCATGGTATTAATATTCCTCCTTTGCATGTCCATCTGCTTTTCCCTCTCTGTGTGTACCTCTGTGTGTGCGTGTATATATATATTTATATATGCGCCCCTAACACAACACTATTTCTAAACCAGCCTGTGATCAACATCTTATTTGTCCCTTCCTATCAGCTCCTATTGTATTTAGGGTGAGTAAATATGGCCATCCCATACCTCCAGACCTCCTGCCATTGGGGGAAATGCAGAGGATTAAAAAGAAAAAACGCCAAAACCTGCAAGTTTGAAATTACGCCACTTTCTCGAGCACTACCAGGTAAAGCTGGCAAGTGCTGCAAGAGGCGATGCATTTCGTTTAACACAGTAAAGATATTTCAATCAAAATAATCATGGTAAAGTCAAAATCATTCGCTATTAAGGCTACGGCGTGCTGCAAGTCACTTTGAATTATGCTGAATTCGAAAAAAAAAAAAAAAAGAAAAAAAAAAGCAGCCCACAACACTTAATCATGAAAATTGCAATGGAAAAAACTTTAATACCCCACTCCAACAGCCAGGCACATCCTCAGGGAAGAGCCCAGATGCCCATCAATCATTCTGGCAATCTGATAAACAGCATTCCCCTTTTCTGACCCGACATTTCAGCAGTAACCCCGAGGCCGCTCCCCGCACACCAACGGCAAGGAGAGCGCGTTTCTTCAATACACGAAGCTTTTTGGATCCCACACAAAGGTCTAGATGGACACATGACACGCTCGGTTGCAAGATCGTGAGTCCAACAGTCGAAATACTTTTTTTTCAGTTATGGGGTATCTCAAACTAAGCAACATCTTACTGGAAATTCTTGATTTTTCTATAGGTAAGAATAAAAAACCCACAGGACGCTACGTGAGGAATGCCACCAAGCTGTCGTTTAAAAAAGAAAAATCTCAGAAGGATTCACCCATAAAAATAAACATACCAAAGCTATTTAAAAAGCAGCTTAAAACTTCATGCGACCAAATTCAGAGTAAGTGCCCCCTCTGACAAACTCAGAAATTGTACTGATTATGGAAGGGAGAGGAAAAAACACCGTGGACAAATAACAGGTACCCAAATTTACCATTATATACTGCGAAGCTACAATTAGGTTTTTTTATTACTAAATGGTCAATTCATAGTGTTAGCTTCACTCTTTAAAAAAAAAAAATCAAATTATTTGGGTAATAAATTATAAATTTCTTTTTGGGGAGAAAACAATATAAACAAACCAGTTTGACATATTTAAATACAGTTATAACAACTGAGGAAAGAGACTTAGAACAATTATGGAATATAAGATTTGTAACTGTACACGTATATGTGATTCAGGAGTTCTACTATTACTGTTATCTAAAAAAAAATAATAAAACAACAAACAAAAAACCCCAACAAATCTAAAAACCTGATACCTTTGTGTCCGAACTGCATTTCCCTTGCTAGGAAAGCAGCAGATAATACAACTTAAAAGATTCTCTCGCAAGCATGAAAGAACCATTAAGAAGCTCAACACTTGCCTGGTAGATCTCTTGCTTAGAAAATAGTAAAAAAAAAACCAAAAACCCCCAAAAAAACACCCCAAACACGGGACATAAACCACAGGGATGAAACTTGACGGGGATAATCTGAATTTCAGAAGTGCGTTGTTTCAAGCCTAGAACATTTTACGGGGGATAAGTGGGGAGGTTCTCACCCCTCCTCGGCTCTCTCCTCGAAGCGCACCCAGCCGCGTGCTGTGGGAATGCTGCAGGACACCGGGCGTCAAAAATTGCATCGCTCCCCAAGAAGAGGGCCACAAAACAACCCCTGTAACGAAAGTCCCTCCAGCGATCCTAAATTAACCGTCCGGCAAACGGTGGCACGCAGAGGGCACGCGCCGCGGGGAGGCTTCAGGCTGCCTTCAGCATCGCCGCTGCTGCGCCAGGGGAAAAGCATCAGCTAACAAATAAAAAAAGTCAGGCTGACCTATCACACAGCACACGCACTCCAAGTTTTATACAGATTTTTGAAGCGTAAAAAACTATTGCAGGAGGGGGAAAAAACCCACCTAAGCACACAATTAAAATCCTCATTCCTTACCAGCAGGATTTATCCTTTTATTACCTTCTCTCTCCTTTTTTTTTTTTTTTTTTTTAAGCATTTAATAAAAACCTTTGAAACCTTTAACATGGTCAATCCAGTAGCAGGAATTATTTATGCCACGCAGATGTGATAACTTAGCGAACATCCCATTCTCCGGCACTGTGCTCTCCCTTCCTGTGACCAGGGCTGGAAACGCTGCTTTTACGTAGGCGGCCCAGCGATATATATACTGTTTACATCCTGCAGTCTTCACAACAGCTCCCACTTTGGCAATTCACACTGCATCCGCAGGAAAAAAAAAAAAAAAAAAAAAAAATTAACCGGCCTTGACTCACGTTAAATGAGTATCCACCAGCAAAATCAGGGACTTTTCTCTGGGGCTTTTGCACCCAGCGAAGTCGCTTTCCCAAGAGAAAGGGAAAAATGTTTCTTTCCAAGTAGCGGTTTTAACCCTGTATTTACAACACTTAAATAAAGTGCGCGCTCGACAACAGCACCTTCTGTTTAAAAAGCTGGATGCTGTTCCAGCCGGGTGACAAAAATGGCATTACAGCCTCATTCGCCACCAAAACAGCTGCCCGGAAAAGTTATGGTGACCACTTTTTAAAAAAGCCGCGGGGTGACATGGGAAGACACAGCAGCGTCCCCTCCGGCATTCCCACAACGTTTTCATCCCCCTTCTGCTTTTAGGTATGGCCGATATTCAGTTCCCGGTGATTTTAAGCAATCCTGGGGACTCAAATCCAGGTGTTCGTCACTCGCAAAGGTACCGGAGGAGCAGCAACAGACGGGGGGAAACCGAACGGCCTCAACATCCCGTACCTCAAAGCCCCCAAAAAGCAGCAAAAGAACACAAATCACCCCAAATTTAAGCAAGCCCATAATCCACAGCCAAACTTTACCCCACTGACACCAATTTAAGAGGAGAGGAAAAAAAAAATAAAAAAAAAAAAATTCAGGCAGACTGAAAAAAGGAACCAGACTGCAGACATTTACGGCTAATGATGAGATCTGCTTCACTAAGCTAGAATAAAAGACAATTTTGGGCGAGAAGCCCACGTGCCATACCCCACACAACCCGGCGTGTGCTCGGCACGAATGCTGGGAGCACCAGCCCCCCCGAGGGCAAGTGCTGGCAGCCCCCATCCTTCCTCTTCCCCTTCCTTTTCCCCTTCCCCTTCCGCCAGCCCTCCCTCCCAGAGCAAACCATCTCCCCAGCAGAGGATTGAAGCACTCGGTCATAAACAAGAGCAGAATGTTGAAAATCCAGAGCAAGCAACGGCAAAGAGTAAATAAAATGCTCAGGCGGCTTGAAAGAGGCTTTGTCCTCCGGGGACACGCCGAGAAATGCTTCGGAAGGGCCCTTTTTCTGCGACCACATCGATTCTTACATCCCGGCAGCAAGGATCCCCACTTGCCGACGGAAAACACGGAGGGGACAACACGCGCAGTCCTTCACGCACGGAAAGGCTTTGAGAAATAACACAACAAATGTCCCTCTTCTGAAAATCGCAGCTTGCAGAGAAACGCAGGGAACTTCCGGAGCCTAAAACAAAGGGTTTCCCTCAGTCGGTTTACATGCGAAGAAAGCCAAAAGGAACGCTGCTATCAAACCTGGTAGATCTAAACCTCTTCTCCCCGGCCAGGCACCAATCCACCGCGACAGAAACCCCGGGCAGCAAAACAAGAGCTTCAGCGGCGTTTTAAACTGAAAGAGCCAGAAAGAAACCCCACCGGAGCATCTCGTACACGGGTACAGCCTGCAGCCAGCAGAGCCTGACAGCATCACCCCCGCATCCCCCAGCCTGGAAAAAAACATCTTTAAACACCGTGGTCCTTACGGTGAGTCCTGATGGCGCCTTTCCAGCCCCAGGGGGTGCGCAGTCGGGGCGAGTTTGCCACATTTAAGAAGTCGGTGGTCATCATCCGGACCCAAAGGCTGGGGCTTCCTCACTTCCAGCAGCCAGCGCGTGGGTTTTACCCTCGGCAGCTGCCCGAGGACAGCAAGCGTGGCACACCTTTGGGTTGGAAAGCTTCACGGTGTCACCTAGCCGAGGCGCAGAAAAGGAATTTTCCTATATGCCGACGAGCGAGTGCGTAGGGCAAAGGCTTTAAAACAGACGCACGAACGACTTTTATCTGCCAAACTTCCAACATTTACGAGTCCCTTCTGTCCTCTGAAACTAGTCGGTCGGTCCCGGGTTGGGGGGGGATGGGGACAGCCGGGGAGCTACACCCACAGACACAGGTGTGCCGCCCGCTGCGGAAGCATTAATGATTGCAAAACACGGGAGCACCGCACCCCACGCACGTCCCCCGTGGACCACCCACACCCCGTGCTTTCCCACGCGTGCACCGCCTGGGGCTGGGGGAGCTCCCCCC